GCTGGCCAGCTCATTGTCTTCAGAGCTGCAGAGACCTAATGCCTGGCCGTGAGCTTCTAACCCCCTTAGGAAGAGGCATTTGGACATGGTCTGCTGGACACCAGTGGTGGTTCGGTGCAGCAGTGGAAAAAGGCTCCCCTCTCTATCCCCCGCCCTCCGCCTCGCCCTTAAAGACTTGAAAGATGAAAAAACTGCCATGCATTCAACAGGCAAAACTGGATTTCTTTTGGCAAAAACTTGAGCGTTCTGCAGGACTGTCACCCCTCCAGCACCGGCAGAGGAGACATCACACCTCTGCCTTCAGTCTGCCTGTACCAGGAAAAGCAACTGGGAGCAGAGGACCAGCACAGAACACGACTGCCCAGCAAGACACGGAGAATACATTCCAGCTAGCTTTTTTTAAAAACAAAACTATAACGACATTATAACACTGCTACAGCAGCGGCACCAATACACTGAGCGCTCCGGAGTGCCTTGTGGGCACTAACGAAGAAAGCCTGTCATGTTAATGTCTTAGTTAGCCCACTACTTCAGGAGCAAGCCAGATCAAAGCTTCAGCCTCAGGAGTCACTGCAGGTCGAGCTTTCAGCTACAAAACCTTTGCAGCTCGAGGGGGAGGTTGTTAGGGTTCCCGCCCGCCCCCCCCGAAACGCAAAGAGAAAGAAGTCAAGGAACACATCCAGATTTTGCTGCTACAATGACACAGGCTCCTGTATCTCTGGAAATGAGAGCAGGACGATGCTTGAATTCTTGCCCTGTAACATAAAACATCTAGAAAAATAGACAAGCGATTTTGGAATAACTTGGAAATGGGCTATGGAAAACTATCCACCAAGTTATTTTTCAAATTTTGTGGCTTGCTTTCACAGTCTTAAGTTCACGCTGAGTTAAGAGCTCAGAGAACAGAGCTTTTCAGAAAACTGAAGCTGTTATCCTTCACCCACTTACATACCATCTGGAGTAGGATAGGAATGAATGGGACAGGACAAGACGCAGGGCTGCCCAAGCACATGCAAATCCTTAAGATTAAATCCACTGAGGTCATCTATACGGAAGGTGTCCTGTAGTGTGTTGTAGAGCTGGAACATCTCAATGACACAGCTGTATCATGTTCACAGCTTGGGCACCCCTTCATGGCATGACTTTTACCTCCCCAAAGTTACCACATCACCTCTGCTACAGGCAGAGAGGTACTTGAAGAGGTCAGCTAATGAAATGTGGTTTCCTAAAGGCCCATCCTCTTAATAAAGGTACTTGGTGTCTTGACAACTGAAGGACCACCTAAAGCCTTTCATTTTGCACCGCAGTCTTTCCCTGCAGCAAGGCAATGTGCAGACACTATTTCTCCTTTACTTTTTCCCCACAGGTTTTATGTATTTATCCTGAGTGTTCCAGCTCTCTTCTGGATAAAACTTAAAATTGAGAAACCATCTCAAAAGTAATTATTAGGGGAATTCCCTTGCAACAGCCATGAGGGAAAGTACTACACAGCAAGGACAACGCGTAGCATGGCACGTTATGCAGCCAATTTGCCTCTCACAGAGGACAACAGAAATCAGAGCAGATATCCCAGGTAAGAGAGAGCGCAGGGGCATGCCCATAATTCATTTCTGCCAAATGCTTTCCTTATCTCACATTCCTGCATCGCTCCTTAACCAGATTACCAACCTCAAATGGTAATAGAAAGTCAATGTGTACAATGAACAGCAAGAGATTACAGAGAAAAACAAAGCAGAGAGATTGTTAACCTACCAGATCTGTCCAACATTGACTAACGAGAGGTAAAGGACCCACAGGACAGCCATGAGGACCATGTTTGCACATCCAGTTACCAATACAAAGGCTGAAGTTGCCAGGCCAAACAGGGAGAGGTAGTCCAAGATGCTGTCCATGTCTGACCAGTCCAGAAACCAGATGATTGTTGGCGCATAGCTCAGAGCATCCAGGTTTATCTTCCCTTTGAAATACTTTTTGACGTTCTGCAGGTACAGTTTACAAGGGAGCAGCCCCTTCTCTCCTATTAGCTGCTTGTTTTGGTGATACGCCACCAGGAAGGCCACAACTAGAGGAAAACAAAGGGGGGGGGGAAACAACAGTATTAGAAATCATTCAGGCTGAAGTACATATTTTGAGTCCAGAGTCACAGAAGTATATTCATGCCTCGGGAAGGAATTTATTCACATATCCTCATCTCCATTAAAATACAACACAGTCATTTCTATTAACCACGGTGCAGAAGGCAGAGGAATTCTATAAATACTGTCTCTGCCTTCACACCAGGAAATGGCACAGAGTCTGTTTTGAGATAATTTTCTCCTCAACAGCTGTAAGGGACATGCCACTTGCTTCAGGCAAACTCAACAATGCAGTTCTGGGAAAAGCTCCCTGTAACTGAGCGACCTGACCCAATGTAGAAACAGGAGGCTCAGCCCAGCTCCGTTAGACTCTGCGTGACCCTAGGTTAGTCACACACACTATTCATCTCCTAATGCAGATGAGGAAAACAGCTTAATTGCACTGCAGAGTACAAGTGAAAGTAATATATTAATTTCAAGACTTTCAGACAGAATTTCCTTTCTACAAAAAGCATTTGGTAAGGAGACACCGAGAAACCCTCAGTTCACGCACGAATACTGGGGAGCACAGCTGAAGCAGCCAGAAGAGCACACGCAACTCCCTTCAGCTTTGCAGCAGCAAAGACACAGCTGTACTTTCTGACCCCTCCTATTTCAGTTTCACAAAACATTTTCCCCTGTAAATAGACAACAGCTCCAGCGTGGGTTTTGTTGTTGATGGTGATATACAATGTCTGCTGCTCCCAGTACAAATAACCCACAGCAGACCGACAGCAGATTGTGCCTGCAAGGTTATGCTTTGACTTTAGAGGACAACATATCTGCATTTTTACATATCGCTATCTGTGCATCTATCAAGTATTGGATTTTATGCTTACATTGAAAACCCTTAATATTTCAAAATATTGTTAATGAGACAGCTTAAACCCAGACACACCATTTAAGAGGTGTCTAAAGGACACCTTAATTCTTCTGGCAGTGTAATGGTTAATGGTTATCCATCGCAATCGCAAAAGACAGTAGTTATGCTATGGGTTGACCTTCTGGATCCTCTCACATCCTGGTAGGTTGGAAATACAAAGTCTTAATATTTTCCTGTCCTCTAAATTGCTACTTTTTATATGTCACTACAGCTCTCTCATTTATAGTGTCTATGCTCTTGCACTGGACAATCTTAGAACAGCCAGATGCTTTTTTTAACAGCACATAAGCAATTTAATTACAGATTATAGACCTAGAATTTGATGTTCTACAGAGAAAGTTGGTCGGCTTCTAGGGATTATCTCATATTTTAGGAATCTCCTCCAGTTACCAATTTGCAGTTCGTAACTGCAGTAATCTCCATTTCGCAGAAAAAAAATGATGAAGGCCAACATTTTCTGATTATGCTTCATACATTTTGCTCCCAGCAGCTAACTTACCCATCTTTCAAACATTATCCAAACACCAGCCACGTCACATGCAGCAATACCAGAGGTCTTGCAAAAGGCCGATCTGTCTCCCCCCCAGCCTTCCTCAGTTAATGATCAAATCTGTTTCCTTCCTTATCTGAATACCGTCATTCTGCAAACAAGAATTCTGGTGTTCATCTGGCTGGTGTCTCTCACTGGGAACACTGGTGGAAAGTCTATGTGAAACTATACCCTGAGTTCAGGCCTGGATTCCCATTTCTTTGAAGTTCGACTAGCAACCCAAAGTCTGCAGCCCCAGGGAATAAAAATAAATGTCCCATTCCCCCCAGACACACACAAAGGTCTCCAGTGGATTTCAGTTAATCCACTTAACACTTACTCCATCACTTTGCACATGGCGTGTGTTTTGTTCGCATTTGAAAAACCACTAAAACTCACAGTCCAACGCATATCTGAGGTCACTGGGAGGGTTCCCATTGATTTCAACAGATCCTGAATCACAGCGCTAACACAATGACGTTCGGGGTTTAACTGGCTGCATCTCTTTCCGTCCATCTTTTATACGCAGTGAAGGATTTTACAAACTAATAAAAAGACATGCAGAATATTTTACTCAATTACGGACAGGGAGGGACAAGAGAAAAAACGGATCGCAACACTAAAGAATCAGCTTTGGACCTCAAATTAAGTGGTTTATATTTTAGAGTATTCATATTTTTCTACCAACACTCTGTTCAGCACAACTGTGTAATCAGAAAGCCTGACACATGAAACAGGCAGAAATGTAATGCTTCTGAGCCTCAGACAACTTAATATCTTCATTTTTGGTTTAAAAAAAAAAAAAAAGACCAACTCTGCCTTAAAACTCCATGGCTTGATTTCCCTTGATTAGCACTGCAATTTGCTGCACAGTTTTCCAAAAGTGCTAATCAAATTCACCTCTAAATGCTACAGAAATTGCTGCCCCAACCCATAACTGCTAAGCAGGTTTTTTCCTAAAAAAAAAAAATCTAAATTAGACCCCTGCACAGTATGCAAGATAAACAAGGAAAGGGTAAATTAGGAAAAAGAAACTATAGCAATTGCAGAAAAGTACACATTGTATGTACAAAATACTGTACAGCCTTTTTAAGTCTGAAAGCAGCAAAGACTGCATTATAGGTTGGCATGAACTGCACATCTAAAGATTGCCCAGTTTGGGCTCCAAAGTGGTTTTCTCCCAGAGCACCGATTTCTTACAAGACGCTGCAGTGCTGATATTTCATATATTACGATTTCACAACTAAATCCCATCTGCAACAGCCCTAATCTGGTGAAGAACTTACCTAACCCAAACCAAATCCTGACCGTTCCACCTACGTTTCGATCCATCGCCCTCCCAAGCCATCGGGGCCCACGTCCGGCGAGCGCCGTTTATTGCTCACACGTGTGCAGCATTTCCTAGACGTGCTGCTCTGTCCCGGATCCAGCTCCCTCTCCTGGACACTCCCCAAGCTGAGCCACTGTCTCGCACCGTGCTCCCTCTCCACTCATCTCCAGCGTCTTTTGGAGCACCTTTGAAGGGCACATCACTTAGGCAGCACCCGCTTCTCAAACCCCACCACCAAATCGTCTAGACCTACTCTCCCAAGGCACCAGCTAAGCCTTCGAGAGGCCTCACCGTGTAGGCAGCAGTTCCCATGTTACCAGGCACATGCAGTAGTTGAAACTAAAGACAAATTCTGCAAAGGATTTCAGCAACACAGGAGATGCACAGATCCAGGGGGAAAAAAGGGAAGTTATTTATCAGCTTGTCATTGCTTCCTCTCCCTGAACTCCTCTCGAGAAACTGTATCCTTAAGCTGACTTATAACACAGATCCTGCTCCCTTCTCCAGGAACCTTCCCTTTGATCTTGGCTTAGTCGGGGCAGGGGGGGGAAAAGTCCCTTTTGCCCCCAAAGCCTGTGCTTTTCTTCCTCTTCCTTAACCCCTATTCTGAAACTTCTCTCCTTTTGGCCTCATATTTGGGGATTTTCCACTCTCCATCTTCCCACTCCCTCCAGGTAAACACGGTCAAACAAGTTTGCTTCCACCTTGGGCACTGGCTGGCATGCTCACTGCACTGCCAGGGCACGGGGCAAGGTTAATCGCTTCTCTTGTTTGTCCTGTAGCTTCTTCCTGGCAAGAGGGTGGCAGAGCAGTTCTGTTACATGAACCAGAATTCACCAGTTCGAAAGTCAGCCGATGCTGGGGGGACCCACCTACGCAGCATGCTGGGTTCAACGCCATGGGGTCCAAGGCACTGAGTCTGCTCGAGCAACGGCACTCCCCCCGCCTCAGCCTCTCCAAACGTTCTGTAAAGCTCTGCTCCTGGGTGTCTGCAAGGTTCGTGTCAGCCCAGGGATGTTCTCATCTCTGGCAGCAAAAAGAGAGGGTCTTACCCAAAGGGATGCTGGAACAGTGAAAGAGAGTCTGAGCGGGCAGCCGATAGCCGCTGAGCATCGCTGTTAGCCAGGCAAGCGGGCAGTGTCTCAGTCACCAACAGAGCTGCGAGACTGCATCTCGCTCAGGAGAAGCTGCTTTCCTCCTGAGCAAACCTGACTCCTGGATTTGCAAACTTTGGGTAATGTGTTTATCAGTGTCTCCTGTCAGTTCAGGGTTCATTTTTTCCTACAAGAACAGCACAAACACTTGCATTCCTACGCACCAGGCAGCTTGCCTCCACCAGCACCTGAGCTACCTCCAGCTCGGGCATATACTGCACCGAGGAGTCCACGGTGGATTCCCCCAGGATGAAGAAGGCTAACGCAGGGCCTGATCCAGAGTCACCCACTCCTTCCAGCCTCTTTAGCAAGCCAAACTTGCTAAATGTTTGGCAGAATGACTCTCACTTTCTGGTATCATCTTACAAAACGAGAGCATAACTGAGAAGGGCGCTTTTTCAGAGTTCAGGATGCACTTTGCTGACCAGGATGCAGAAGCCGATGTTTTCCCATAACTGTCCTTTCCGGCATCACACACTTCTACGATGTGAGGCCATGGCTGGGCTCCTAATTCAGGGACATCCCCTGCAGACTCCCAGCACAGCTCTGCACACCTTCAAGTCTCCAAACCCAGCATAAAACCCCATCACCTTGCCCATCACCCCTGTGGCTGCTCACTGCCTGGACTTTTTACCAATACTTCCTGGATTTGGGTATCTTCAGCCCATGCCAGTCTCCTCCCTCTCTCCACCTGAAGCACTGCGCCATCCTTCAGACTATTTGCTCCTTTGCAGATTGAAAAAAACTCAGCCTCAGCGACTCCCATGCTCCCTCCCACTCAGGAGGCAGATGGAGCCTTTGACAGCTCACATGGGAGCACGCTCCTCTACCTGCTGCGAGCTGATCTTTACATAAGTAATACATGTAAATTGTCATCAACTGCTAATAGACCTTCACTACTTATTCTCACCTCAGAAGGTGCTGTACTGTACTTTTCCATTAACTTCCCCCCTCCACCTTCTCCTTCCCCCCTGCAAACTGCAGGCATTCCTTGTTCAAACCCACATGCTACCAATAAACACAACCCAAACATGCAACACAAGAGTCACCCATCTGAAACGATTTGGTCTATCCATATTGCCCTGTCACCTCAGTTCCTTTCCCTCAGTCCAGGCTCAGCCTGTCATGGTAGGAGAATGAGAGAATCCCATTCTTCATGCTCTGTAAAGATTTAAAGATGTGAAATCCAAAACTTTCCGGTCATATGGCTTTCTCTCTCCCCCCATTAAAAGAAGTCTTAACTTTTACTTAAAGCCCAAACCACAAGAAGAAATGAACCAAGAGCACAGAGCTTTGCATGAAAACCAAACTACATTTTGCACACACACAAAAAATCTGCCTGGAGCCATATATCAAGTGCACCTTTGACCCAACAAGGCATTCAAAAAAGGCTCTACGCTGGATGCTGGCAAACTGAGGTTGTACTACTGAAGAGAAGAAGGGGGATAATAAGCATGGTCTTTTCATTATTATCAGAGAAATGAATCAAGTAAGTTTTCAATTGATAAATTCCCCTGCAAAGTTCTGCAACACAGAAGCAACAACACCGTAGCACTGAGCGAAGAGCCAGAGTGAAACCAAGCACCCCCTTTTCATCTTGCAACCCTACAGCCACAAATAAACACACAACAAAGTAGCCTGTTCTTAACACTTTCTTGTTTTATTGCCATTCGCAGCAAAGCTAAAGACTTCAGGATGGTTGCTTTGGAGGCTTTTTAAGCGCTTATCTCCCCATTGCCTCTTCGTTTGAAATAATGTGAAAGCAAATAGAAAAGGCTGGGCTGTGGCACTGCTAAAAAGCTTCCCCATAGGACCCAGGTTGTTCAAAACCACACCAGCGGCAGCCCAGCCTGCAGCTGGAGGATGCCCTGAGAAGATCCCTCTGCTCCAGACCAGCTCTGGGCAAGCAGCAAACTGGGAGACTGATTCTCTCCTTCTTGGTTCTTGTTATCATTTCCCTTAAGCTATCACTGCTTGCTATGAATTTATCTTCCCACAGTGAAAGTGCTTTTTTCAGGACCAAACACACTTCTGTCTTGCTTACACAGCTCTTCCGTGCAGAGTTAAACGGGGGGCATGTAGCTTGCTAAGAGGACACAGTGCTAACATACTGCCTTTGTTGTGCAGACTTGCTAACAAGCATCGTGCTGAAATAAAACCTTTCAGGGGAGAAAAAGGGTCCGAAGATGTACTATAACCCTGACTAGGCAAGCTGAAAGCTACTGGGAGCCTTTTAATATAACTGAGGAAGAGAAGGGGGAAAGCAGGGGAGATGGCAGAGAGACAGAGAGAGGAGGAAGGACACCGGGGAGAGCCAGGAACCTACAGGAAGCCAAACCCCCCTGAGAAGGCTTTAGATTTCAGAATTAGGAAGAAGTAGCATGAACCTCCCGTAGCTCTAGCTCTGGGGAAAGAAAATACTACTATTAAACAATACATAAGGAGAAGGAAGATAAACTGGATTTAAATAATAGCTTTTATTTCAAAGCA